ATGTAGCGTACCTGGATTTCAGTAAGGCCTTCGACAAGGTCCCCCATGACCTTCTGGCAAACAAACTAGTCCAATGTGGGCTAGGCAAAACTACAGTTAGGTGGATCTGTAATTGTTTAAATGGATGAACCCAGAGGGTGCTCACCAATGCTTCCTCTTCATCCTGGAAAAAGTGATGAGCGGAGTGTCGCAGGGTTCCGTCCTGGGTCCGGTCCTGTTCAACATCTTTATTAATGACTTAGATGAAGGGTTAGAAGGCATGATCATCAAGTTGACAGACGACACCAAATTGGGAGGGATAGCCAATACTCCAGAGGACAGGAGCAGAATTCAAAATGATCTTGACAGATTAGAGAGATGGGCCAAAACTAACAAAATGAAGTTCAACAGGGACAAATGCAAGATACTCTGCTTAGGCAGAAAAAACGAAATGCAAAGATACAGAATTCTTGCATAAAGAATGCCACATGTTTGAATACTGAACCTGTCAGGTACCTATGATTCCTTGGGGGAGGGGGGTTCTCTGTCCCACCACCCGCTCGAGCATGTTTGGTGGTTAGAAAGGCTAGCATGACCCCATCCCTGTTTGCCTTTCACAAGCAGATAAAGGTCTTTCTGTGCCAGCAAGCTTTTGAGGGGCATGATGCTGGAGACATTGTGGGTGGGATTCTCAGGGTATTGGGAGTTTTGAACATAATTTGAATTGTATTTATTATATTTTAACTGTATTTTATATTTTAACTGTATTTCAACTTATATCCATGACACAAATATTTGATTGTTTTTTAATGTTTTTATACTTTCTTTTTTTATATTTTTTAGTTGTGTCATGTAATTGTAAGTTGTCTTGAGTTTCTATGAAGAGAAAGATGGGGTAGAAATAAAGTAAATGCTGTAATAATAAATAATTATACCTTAAATTTAATCCATAGCACTTTCAGTTAAAAAGATCAGGTGACAGAGGTTTTTGCTTGGTTTTATGCAGAGTCATTTTCAGCAAAGTAGCAAATACAGTTTTTGACAAAAAGCCAGGATATAAATTAAATGAGCAAGTAAATACTGGGCTGGACGAACAAATAGCCTGATGTGGAATAAAGCAGCTTCTTATTTGTGGTTGCTATTTTTGAAGCACCCCTTCTAGATGAATCTGTAAAAATGAAAATCTTATGATGCCAGCACTAACAAATCTCATGTGCTTCAGTTTTCAAAGACATAGCTAAATCTGCCATAGCTGTATGAATTGAAAGATTTCTAGAGTTCTGGTGGTGTTTTTTTAAGGAATGTGTTTAATCTCAGAAAGGTACAACCCATACATTAAGAAAAAAAGGCTAAGCTGCAATCGTTTTGTAGACATAATAGAAAACAGTAAAACAAATAAGTAGCCCATATGCATCATTTCCATTCTGTGACTTCAAAACTTGACTGATAGAAGAATGAATCATGAGTTTGATCACATTCTTCTTTCAAAGGCTATGCATTCTAGGCTACTGGTAGTTTCAAACTCACCTTAATATTTGGATTGGTTTAGCATTTAAGGTCTCTGACCATAATGTCTAAACAGCCACCTGGTCTCCACTACCCTACATAAAACTGGGATTCAAGAACTTGGGGTTTTTTTTCAGTCCTTTCTTTTACAAGACAGATTATCCTAGATTTCTTTTTTTTTTTTTCAGAATAGCATGTCATATTGTACAGTCACCTCTGTAACTACAGCAGTGGCTCTCAACCTTTCTAATGCTGTGACCCCTTAATACAGTTCCTTGTTTTGTGGTGACCCCCAACCATAAAATTATTTTCGTTGCTACTTCATAACTGTAATTTTGCTAGTATTGTGAGTCGTAATGTAAATATTGAATATGCAGGGTGTATTTTCATTCCCTGGAGCAAATTTGGCACTAGTAGGGTTGGATGAGGGTTGATTTTGGTAATTTGGGAGTGTAGTTGCTGGGATTTGTAGTTAACTACAATCAAAGAGCATTCTGAACTCCAACAGCAATCGAATTGAACCAAACCCGGCACCTACAATCAAAGAGATTTTGAACCCCACCAACAATAGGATTGGGCCAAACTGATGGACTTTGGTGACCCCTCTGACACCTTCTCTAGACCCACCCAGAGATCCCGACCCCCAGGTTGAGAAACACTGAACTACAGTCAACCATCCACGGACTGATTTTTTTTAATTGAAAAAATAAACCTTGATTTTGCCATCTTAGATAAGAGACACCGTTTTAGCCTACCACTGCATATAATAGAACTTAACCATCCACGGATTTTGATATCTATTGGGAGATCCAGGAAGCAAACCCCAAAGGCCCACTATGGCTTGGGTTAAGAAGGTATATAGGAAGCTGCCTTACCTTGAATTGATGAGAATAATTAAATGGCAGGTTTGGAGACAAGGATTTTCTTGATCTATCTAGGGGTGCTGGGGATAGAGACAAAAACCTCTGCTCTACCACTGAACGACTTGGGATATTGATTGTTTTACTTGGTTTTATATTTAAATTGATTGTTTTTAAATTGTATTTTATGTCTTTGATACTGACTGTAAATCTTCCCGAGTCGCCTGTGGGCTGAGAGGGGCGGTATATAAATGTAGTACATAAATAAAATAAATAAATTTCCTGGACCAGAGCCAACTGTTCATAGAGATACATAGTTTTGGTGACGGTGATTTTATATGGCATGTGTTGACATCAGTGTTGTTTTGGTTTTTTCGAATTGAATTCTGCTTTACTGCAGAGAGGGTAGAGACTGACATTCTACAAACAGTGGTTATTCATTTCTGGAGAGAGCATTTCTACTTCTCCCTGTGCATAAGTTGTGATCCTGATGTCTCATGCATAGAGTTGCTCACTCTCTTCTGTTACACTTGCTCGGTTCATTGTTAGCTTTTTGTTAGACTCAAATTCCTAGAGGAAAGGAGTGTCTTCCTTGTTTGTATACAAGATTGTATATGCTGCTATAATGTGATGCTACACTTTGTAGGCTTAAGAGACTTCAGTAATGGCATCTGTGTGACATTGCCTTCTAGTACATGGCTATTCTGTGACAAGTGAATTGGGTTTGAAACAGCATTTCTTAGGTATTCACAAGTTAATAAAAAAATCAACATCTACACAGTTAAAAATATATCCAAGACCTGCAATTTCCTCACATATCTCCAAACCTATCATGTATCATTTAAAAATATTTTCATCAAAATATGCATCGAAGTAAGTTAATTTTTTCCAGTAAACTTTGTTTTTATGGGTAAAAATCTTTTGCCCATGGGACAATATAGGTCTAAGAGAGACCCTTTTTTACCCCCCCCCCCCCATAGTGAAAATGCCCCTTAGAGGCAATTGGGGCAAAAATATTCTTGTGGGAGCAGGGGTGGCTTTCCAAGGTTTTCTAGGGGCTAATGCAACCTCCTAGCCTTCCTCGGTTGCCTTTCCCTGCTCTGTAGCAACATAAGGTCACAAAATGCCTTATAGAGACCTTGTAAGATCCCTCCTAAGACACTTCCCTGGATCTCTCTATATGGGGTAACTATATCAGCCAATATCCCATTACTGGGCAAGGTAATGGAGCGTGTGACAGCCTCAGATTTCCAGAGAATATTTAATGAAATGGTTTTCTAGATCTAATCCAGTTTGGTTTCGGGCCTGGTTATGGGAGAGGTGCCTTTGGTCACCCTTGTAAAATGATCTCCACCAGAAACTGTGTGGGGTGAGTGTTGATTCTGTTTTATCTTTTAGAAGTTTTCAACATCATTGACCATAGTATTCTTCTGAGCCATCTCTCTTTTGCAATCACCCCATTCTTTTCTGGAGAAAAGTGACTGGAAGATGGTGGTGGGGATTCCTATTCAACTTCTTGTATATTGATCTATGGGATTCCTAAATTCTCTGTGTTGTATCCCATGTTATTAATAAATATATGAATAATTTGGAAAAGGTTGTTTGCAGTTTTCAGGTGTATTTTAGTTATATTGATGACACCCATCTCCATCTCTTTTTTGCATTTAACTCAAGAGTTTTCATTTTAACCTGATATCTGGCAGCAATAAAATGCTGGATGGTAGTTAACAAAATGAAGCAGAAGACAAAATAGTTTCTTGTCAGTAGAAAAGCAGATAATGAAATTGGGATGTGGCCTGTACTGTATGGGGCTAACCTCCTACTGAAATCTCAAGTTTGTAGCTTTGGTATAATCTTGCTCACCCTGAGCACAAAACTCAGGTTTCAGCAATGTCCAGGAATATGTGTGTAGAGATAAAACTAGTATGCCAACTGCACTTATTTTTGGAAATGTCTGATATGACCTTGGTGGTAATGGCCCTAAATACCATGAGGTCATCAAATCTTGTCAGGCCTTGAACTTCAGTTCTAGTCAGTATTTGGGTGGGAGATGTTCAATAAATACCAGGTGTTGCTGACTATATTTGATAGGAAGGAACTGGCAGTGTTCATTTTGACCTATAAAACCCTATACATTTTGAGTTCAAGCCATCCAAAGGACTGTATATTCTTATCTTGACCCCACCACCTGTCCCTACATGTTTGATGACAGCATAGGAAAAAGCCCTCTTGGTGACTGTTTGCTTACTTTTTAATTCCTATCCCCAGACTCCCTCCTTGGCTTCCTTTTGTAAGGAAATAAATCTTATTGTTCAGATAAGCATTTAGTAATTGACTGTAAGTTATTTTAATGGTATAGTTTTTAAAATTCATGTTTGTCTTTTAATGGATCCTTTTAAAAGGTTTTAATGCTATGGATTCTCTAATTATATATCAGTAATATTTTAATGTTTTAACTTATGTCTATTTGTAAATGCTTTTAACTATAATTTAAGGTTTTGTGAACTCCTTTGGATCCTATTATTGAAAAGAAGGTGGGATATAAGTGATCAATTATAACAATTATATACTAAATGAAGTAAATTTTAAATGCATTTGTGTACTAGAGAAGCTAACAATTATCTTGGTTCTATTTTTATTTTATATTTTGTTCAGAAATGGAGGCAAAGAACCTGCCTGAATGGTGTCTTAACTTTTATGATGGATTATGGGATTGTGCGCTGATGAGCCCGCAAGCGGAATGCTTAAGTGACTGAAGAAAATGGGTGCTAATGCTTCGAACTACCCTCATTCGTGTTCCCCAAGGGTAGGGGGAAATTCTCAGGCACAACAAACGTTCATAGGTAAGCATTTATATCCCTAACCTTTGCTTTCAGTATTTCTGTGACATAAATTTTCTTCTGATCTCTGCAACGAATAATGATAAACTCAGTGAGCTTAAGATGATAGCTATTCTTTGAAAAATTGGTGAGTTTGCACAATTTCCACTGAACAGGAGTCTGCGTTGCTAAAATGACTGCCACACTAGCAGAATTTTGAATTGCATTCTGTTTTTATATTTAGTCGTTCTAAACTACATTTGCAGTAAATATTGGTTTTGTAATAGGTTGAACTTGGTCTGGGAAGATTTACTATTACTGCTCAAACATAAAACTCATTGGGTGCTATTGGGCAAGTTTGCTAAACTTCTTTCAGGGACACATAAATGGGAAGGCTTATAAAATCAGAACAGTGTGGAAGTTAATAGAGGGGGGAAAATCTCTATATGTAACTAAACTTATACCCACATTACATATTACGTTTAATATGTTGTTTGCATTTGAAGAATTACTTCTGTTGTTTCAGGATTGTGAAAAACCATTATCAAAAAGGGTGTTGTGTAATTTCCAAGCTGTACTCAACACATTAAAAATCTAGCTTGCTAATTGCACTGGTTCAACAGACAGTGGTTCTTTACTCCCACCCTGGATATTCCACAGGTATATATACTCCACTTGCTTTACTACCATCAGATTCTCTAAAGATGCCAGCCACAGATGCAGTTGAAATATCAGGAGAAAATGTTGTTAGAACATGGCCATACAGCCTGGAAACCACACAACACCCTGTGATTCCAGCTGTGAAAGCCTTCGACAATGCATTATCAAAAACATGTCAGAGTGAAGTATCATAAACAAGGACTGGCCTCTAATTAATTTATTTGATGACTGTTCAGAGCAGTAGATTTTGAATTTGAGTTCTATACAGCATGCAATCTGTTGTTTTTATTTTGAAGTCCTGGATGGCAAAAAGCACAAGCTAATAACGGTACAAAAGAAAGCATTCATGATGCCTTGTTTAGATGTCATGGTTTGTTGGTATGTGGATTACTACTACATATTGCTCACTCCTCCCTCCAGCAAGTCTGTGAACATTCACTTCTGTTTTAGACCAGTGCTACTCAAAGTGGTAGAGCATGAACTGATATCCGCAGCAGGTTTCCAGGAAAGAAAGAGACAAGTGTAACCAGTGAGCATAAATATAATGCCAGTCAATGGCACATTGGAAGACTTTCTGGGTCCTGACATCAGAAAACTTAGGAAGCACTGTTTTAGGACGCTATTGTGGGATTTGAGCTTGAACAGACTGACAATTTGAACTGTGGATTTTTAAAATAGACCTTGCTGTCTTGACCTTATGATCACTTCTGTGAATCCCACTTTTTTGGTTAATTTTTGGTGTTAGGGAAGTGGTTCAGTGGTGCTGCCACAGATTCATGCCCCCCCCCCTTCTCCTTCTCTCAGTCTCTTGCTCCAAATTTATACCCTAGATCTGTTGCACTTGTTCAGCTTTAGATACAACTATAGGCTTTAGGTTTGGTGTAATTATACCTAGGCACATAAATAGCCTAGTTGGTTGACATAGTCTCGTGTAAGTAAATTGTGTATGCTATAGCAATAGATGTGAACATTATTCAGGATGGTTTTATTAGGCAGACATTTATCCTTAAAATATCATTGGCTGAAAAGCGTGCGGAGGCTGGGATGTGGAAAACCTTTTAAAGTTCACAGCACTTTCCTAGCCATTTTTTTACATATAAAATATTTTAACTTTTCTCTTTGCTGCCATGAAAGAAAAGGTCATATTAGCTAGAGGAGATGTTTAGTTAAAATGAGTTTTCCGGCCATGGAATTGGAAGCTGGTAAAAGGCTGGGGATTTTGGAATCATAGCAGTGCTGTTAAAGCTCTATGTTTTAGTCGGGTTTTGCCTCTGGCGTTAACTTGAAACAAGTACATTATTAAAAGAGTATGTCATATTTGCTCATCAGACCCAACAGTACGATAATTCTTGCTTAGGGTAAAATTTTAGGGTTAATTAATTCTAAACCCTGCAGAGACTTCACTTAAAGCCACAGTTGCTGTTGAGTATCTGCAACTTGCAGCAACTTGTACCTTGTCCAGTGCTTTTTATTTATTCACATTTATGGTTGGGTTTTTTTTGTTTTTGTTTTTTTGAGGGGGTGGGGTTCCAAGTTCAATTGGAACTTTTCCTTTGAATTGTTTTACAATTTATGGTAAGGTGGTCTTTATGTGAAGGTGGGGTGATAGTTGGATTTTATATATAATGAAAGAGTAGCCATAGACCTATATTACACAGGGCATCTGCTTGCAAATTAACTAGTGTATTTGCAGAGTAATGTAAATGTATTTCAAGACAAGTCAAGAAATATTATTTTAAGGAAAAACTAAAGATCAATTTTGCTTTCTTGGTCCTTCAGTAAAAATGTATGGAAGAATGAACACATCTGTGTAAGATTTTATATATAAACAAATCATGCCTGCTTGAAGCTTTCAGTATAACATGAAAATAGTTTTAATAAACATCTATGTTTCAGCATTACATAGTGTGTTGTACTGATGCCATTAAACAAACAACCCTCCACTTGCCAGTCATAAAACTTGGAAGCCTGTGCAGAGGTTCAGACTCCTTTGGTTTATCTTCTTTGTCACATAAAATGCAAGCTGTAGTTTGCCTGTTAGTTCTCTGAAATTTCCTGGTTGACATGTTAATTCATTTGTTACCTGCCAGGGTATTGGACAAATGTCCGGTTCTGTCCAATTTAAATGCTAATTCCTGCTTTCGGGCAGTTGAAGAGTTTGATGATAAATATCACTTTTGGATTCCTTAAACCTTATTGACTTTTCACGGGCTCTTCCCCAGAGTTTGTTTACATTGCATTTGTATAATAATACAGGTTTTTTTTAAATGGATGGGGAAGATATGGCCCACAGGTTGCATATGGTCATAAAACATTTTATTCTTCAGACCTCCCCCAATTAAATAAACTGGGGAAAATTTTGTTTATAATGCCCTAGACAATCCAAACCACCACAAGAAATATGGCAGTTTGGGTCTCCTTGCCCTAGCTGGGACCTCCCAAAATATAAAAATTAACCATGCATAGGCTAAAACCCGGAACTGGAATGATAATAAAAATACAATAATAAAACTAATAATAATGCTTTATTTATGTACTGTCCTATCTCCTCGAAGGACTCAGGGCGGTGACAACAAAGTCAGCAAACACTCAATACCATACAAAAGAAAAACACATAACAAAATAACCATCCTACCCAAAATCCTCACAGATCCATATTTAAATCAAAAATAAAACTCATTTTAACAAGTAACATTTACAATTCCATCATAATACATCAAGAAAACAGGGGAGTCAGACCAGCAAAATATGTTTTAAATTATTAATTATAAAATTAACTATTGCCAGCAGCCAGGATGAGTAGTCCATATAACATACTAAGCCTCCTCATCTCTATATGCCTGAGTGCATAAGAAAGTTTTAAGTTGTTTTTTAAAGGAGGTTAAAGAGGGAGCTATTTTAATCTCTTTAGGGATAGAGTTTCAAAAGCCGGGGGGGGGTGATAATAAAGAAGGCCCCCCTCTCTTGTTCCCATCAGCCGTGCTTGCAATGGGGGTGGGACTGAGAGCAGGGCCTCTTCTGCTGAGTTGATATGTGGAGATGCGGTTTGCTAAATAGTCTGGGCCCAAACCATTTAAGGCTTTAAAGGTTATGGCCAGTACTTTGTATTTAAGCCCGAAGCAGATCAGCAGCCATTGGAGCTGCCGCAACATGGGAGTGGTTCTCTCCATGAACGGAGCCCTAGTTAGTAATCCGGCTGCTGATCTCTGAACCAGTTGAAGCCGCTAAAGGCAGCCCCACATAGAGACCGTTGCAGTAGTCCAATCGAGATATGGTTACGGCATGGACTACTATGGCCAAGTCAGGCATCTCAAGGTACGGGTGCAGTTGATGCATAAGTTTTAGTTGGGTAAAGGCACTCCCGGCCATCACAGACACCTGAGGCTCAAAGGTCAGCGATGAATCTAGGATCACCCCCAAACTGCAAACCTGGTTCTTCAGGGGAAGTGTAACCCCATCCAACACAGGCTGTTACCCTATACCCTGATCAGCCTTGCGACTGACCAAGAGCACCTCTGGGTCTTGTCTGGGTTCAATCTCAACTTGTTAGCCCTCATCCAGTCCATTACTGATGGCAGGTACCCGTTAAGGACCAGGATGGCATCCTTGGTGTTTGGTGGAAAGGAGAAATATGGTTGGGTATCGTCTGCCTAAATTTGCCTCGAAGTGATGTGACTTCACCTCTAGATAAACTCACAGCACTGCAATGGCCTATAGGCATTTCCTCCACAGCTGCTACTTTATTTGAAACAGACATAGTTCAAGAATACATGTTTACTTTTTTGAGCTGTTCTGAAAAGGGTGGATAAGGAAACACGTGGTCTGTCACATTGTGGCTGGCTCCATGGATGGAAATAAATTAGTAAAATTGACTTTTTGAAACATGCAAGTCTACATTTCCCTGCTAAGCAGTACTGTCCAAGTCAAACACCAAATAATTTGATCATAGTTGATTTTCCTTGCATATACTCTTTCTCTTTGCTTCTGTGTAATACAAATCCCTTTATTTTATAGACTTTTGACTGACTAGATGTCATTGGTTTAATTCTAACATTGTTTTTACTAGAATTCCTTTAAGACTTCTATGGCTCCATGCTCAAATAGCAAGAGGTCCCAGTATCATGGCTGGGAAGCAGATCTCCAGCCATTAGACTTGTTCCCTATGGTGGCTTATAATGTCCTATATAAAATTTACTTTAAATTTATAGGTCAGCTTTTAATTGTTTAATTGTTTCTAATTGCTAGAAACAATTAGAACTCTGTAAGCTTTGGCCAAAAATATCATCCTTGTGCAAACATATAAAAGAGTTTAAAAGCAGTATCAAAGTGTATAGAAACTAGATAATTGGAAATTATATTGCTTC